CTGCAAGTTCATTCAGTTAGAAAAATTGCCACCATACAATTTGACAGGACTAAGGCAGCTAAACCTATTTGGCAAGCATACTCTAATCATAACCTCACCAAAGCTATTTACTCCAAATTATATGGTTGGGAGCAGGTATCTTGGAGAGAGATTGTCTGGAATAAGTTTCTATCTCCATCTATGTCATTCTTCAGCTAGAGGACACTCCAAATTTTATCCCCACAAATGATATACTCAAGCTAAAAGGACTGAGAGGGCCCTTTAAATGTGGGTTGTGTCTACAGGAGGAGGAATTCCTAACACATCTCTTCTTTGAATGCAGGTTTGCCCATAAAGTTTGGAACCAGCTTAAGCAACATCTAAACATTGAATTCATTAATCTCACTTGGGATAAGACTAATTCTTGCTGGCAGAACTGACGTAAGCTAAATTATGCTCCTATACCTTTCATAGTCGCACAGTTTATTTGGATGAATAGAAACAAAGCAAAATTTGAAGACACTATATCCACTACTGAAAAGGTGGTTAGAAACATTGTATCCTACCTACAGGTGATCAAGTATAAAAAGTTTCCAAATATCTTCAACTCCTACACATCTGAAAAGAAAACTCCTCAATAAACTTATAAAGTGATATGGAAACCACCTAAGGGTCACACTACAAAGATTAACACGGATGGAAGTTCATCTGAGTTGGGGACATGTGTGTGTGGAATATTCAGAAATCACCTAGGCCAATGTCTACTTTACTTCTATACTCATGTGTTGGCTGTTGATGCTATTGAAACAGAGATTATTGTTGTTTATTGGGCATTAAACCTTGCAATAAAGATTGGATGGACTCATATATGGCTGGAAGTGGATTCTTCAGTGGTCATCAACTTATTAAGCACTGAGGAAGTGACACCCTGGAACCACTCTTACTGGATTCAAAATATCAGAAGACTCACCTCCCACATCCTTGTTAACTTTAGTTTTATATTTAGGGAAGGAAAAAAACCTGCTAATTGGCTTGCCAGATATGGTCTCAAATCTAACTATACATCTGTTGCTACCTCCCCACCTCCTCCACTTATTTTTCTGCTACATGGAGACCTACTTGAAATTTCCCACCTCAGATTTGCTGGTCACAACACATTTAAGAGAGAGATTTCTATTCTAAAGATCTTAGCTTTTTTGGACCCCTTTTTACATTAGGAGTATTTTTTCTCCTTTACCTACTGTAAGACTCATGTGTAGATTGCTGACTCCTCTTTCTGGGTGGAGTGCAGTTTTTCTACCCCATTTCTCCCTTTTGTAATCATTATTCAAGCTAACATGGAAGGAGCCAAAAGAAGCTCTTATATATATCAGGATTTGAATAAGCC